CGCATGCGTATACTTTGCGAACTTTTACACCGTTGCGCACGAGCGCTTCTGTTGACGCGCACAGTCCTGAACAAAGTTCTAGCACCGCTATGCCTGAACTATTTACAGCCGTTTGTTCGTGGATGTCCACATAGTTCGAATCCAATGGGGATCCATATCTAGAAGCTAAAAGTACAGCCGGAGGCGGAGGCTCTATTAGGCTGCGGATAGTCCGCTGAAAACTAGCTATCACACTCTGCGTGGCTAGCTGGTCCCTACACTCTAACTGCAGCCGAACGTCTCTCTCCTCTCGCGCCGTCTGGGGCGCCACTACAGGTCCTGTACAGAGCCGTGCAAATGACGGCGGGGGCCGAGGTGCGCTGCGCGCAGGGTCAGCGGATGATGATCCGGGGGCGCAGGATGATGATCCAGGTGCGCCGGAAGCAGCTAGTCGTGCTGCATAAGCAAAAGTTGCTTGGTTAAGCCGGGAACTAGTGGCGGCGGACAGACGATTGTTGATCAATACAACATGGAAAATGGATGGCAGCTCTGCGGTGGGGGATCCCTCTTCCCACCAGCGCGGATAGTACGTGTGGGTCTGCAGGTATGGATTTGTCGTTAGTCCAATCCGGCCGATGACACTCATTCCTATCAGAGTTTCTTTCGTCTGCGACGGAACAATTGTTAGTTTGACTTGAACCGTTGTGGCGGCAGACGTGTTTGGATTAATTGAAATTTCAATTGTATCCCAAGTTCTGTCAACGGGCGCAGTGGTTACGGCGTCCGCTGTGATTAAGCTGATTGCTCGTCGCTGCCGCATATCCGAAGTGATTCCTAGTTTCCTGGCTGTCCAGTTCGAAATGATGACACTTTCGCATCCAATGTCAACAGTCAACCAATCCAAAGCTACACCATTTATTAAGAAAGCTGGACTTGTCAATCCGGGGGGCGTGATGAAAACCAGACACCCTGTCTGCGTGGTCCAAAAAGTTTAGCTTGTCCAGACGCAGATTGTTTTCCGAACTGAGAAACTGTTTAAAGGAACGGCGGTTCTGCCGTGCTGACGTGGCCTGCTGGACTGGCAGGTCACACAGTGCTAACGGAGGCGCGTATACCCTATGACGGATTGCCTGCGGCTGTTTAACTTCACACCAAGTGTAATGTCTATAAACACCTGACGCGGTGGCGTGTAAAAATTGAGACGCCAAACACAGCCTCATAAAAAGAGCACCGGCCTGCCAGGCATTCTGAAATTCTGTCGTAGTTTCAATGCCTGCCCTTGGCTTGACAAAATTGTAAACCAGGGGTTCTGGCTCCAAAAGCCATTTTGACTTAACCAGAACAGATAACCCGAGCTCTAACTTGTCCAGAAACGCTGCAGGCAAGTTATGCGCGGACGTCCAGTGGAAATCAAATTCTTCACTGTCCGTTATTTCTAAAACTGTTCCCACAGCCCGCACTTGTGAAACTGACAGGCTGTCCTGGGGGACGTTTTCTAAGTCAGTTGGACTCGCTAATTGATTCTGCGCAACCAAAGGCTGTTCTCGCAAAGCTTTGGCCTTCTGGGCAGACTTTTCTGTTGGCAGACAAGACGTAATTGTTTGTTCTCAACTGCTGCCAACAAAA